ATTGACCACAGTTTACCACAATGCAACAGCTCCCCTCCCCCTTCCTTACCATAGTTACCCCTTCCCCCTGTCCATCCCTCCATGCACTCCTGCCACCTGAACTGTCTCCCTGTGCATAAGCAACCCTTCTTTCTCCTGTGATTGTTCTCTCCAAGGAGTGTATCTACCTGAGGTAAATGTTCAACTCATATGCCTGTCTTTTGTTTTTGTTCCACATTTTTCTCCCACTCTACCCAGAATCTTCTATTTTAATCCCTTTCCAGGTGGTTGGCAGCGGTAGCTGGGCAACTTCTAGTTCTGGTCTCAGGATCATATAGGCTGAGGTACTTATGGCTCTTTAGTCCTTTGGAATAATTGATTCCATGTGTCTTTAATTTTCTTCAGTCTTATTTGCTCAGGATAAGGAGAGACCAGATGTTGCACCTTAGATAGCCATTCAAAAATTTTTAAGACCCCAGATGCTACTCACCAAAGTAGGATGTAGAACAATGTCCTTGTGCACTATGTTGTACCAGTTAAGCTTGGTATCCTGTGTGGCCATGGCTCCCAGTAGACAGGCCCAGTGACTCACTTACTCAAGGGGCTTACTTGTGGCTAAGAAATTATCCTTTGTCCCCTGTTAGCTCTTTCCTGCATAAGAACATTTTTATGGTACATAAAAATATGAATGTAGGAATATTGTCTGCTCAAACTATGCATGGTTGTGGGTGTATTCCTATTTGCCCTCCCATACCTCATCTTCTTGCTGTCTACCTATGCATCCAAATATAGATGATTGTTATTAAGTGCTATCTAATTGTCTCTTACTTGTAGCAACCCTATGTACAACAGAATAAAGCACTGCTCAGTGCTGCCCCATCCTAGTGTTTACTATACTTATAGTGTATGTAATAGTATATAACTTTATTGTCTGTACGTCTTGTACACACATCTCGGTGTCTTCCTTTTCCTTAGTGGTATTGTGCTAGTCACATGATTTTATTATATTGCCTTTCTAGTCACCAAAATCAACACTTGTTTCTTAACTAAGAAGCAATTTTCCCTCCCCTCCCCTCCTATTCCAGGTAACCAAAAATGATACATGCCTTACTTGTGTAAACCTTTCCTTGACTTTTTAGAGTAGTGGACTCATACAATATGTGCCCTTCTGTGATTTGACTTATTCCACTCAGAATTGTGTCCTCCAAGTGCATCCACTTGGAATTTTGCAAGACCAACGACTTGTTCATTGCAAACACCTTTTTCAACAACACACACGGCAACTCTACATGTGGACTTCACCAGATGGAACACACAGGAATCAGATTGACTACATCTGTGACAAGAGGTTGTAGAAAAGCTCAATATCTTCAGCCAAAACCAGGCCAGGAGCTGATTGTGGAACAGACCATCAACTGCTCATATGCAAGTTCAACTTGAAGTTAAAGACAATTAAAACAAGTCCAAGGGAGCCAAAATATGATATTGACTATACCCCTCCTGAATTTAGAGATAATCTACAGAATAGATTTGATGCATTGAACACCAGCGACCGAAAACCAGAAGAATTGTGGGAGGATATCAAGAACATTATACATGAAGAAAGCAAGAGATTACTAAAAAGACAAGAAAAGAAGACTAAAATGGATGACAGAAGAGACTCCAAAACTTGCCCTTGAGTGGAGAGTAGCTAAAGCAAATGGAAGAAATGACAAGATAAAGGTACTGAACAGAAGATTTCAAAGAGCACCTCGAGCAGACAAAACCAATTACTATAATGAAATGTGCAAAGACTTGGAGTTTGAAAACCAAAAGGGAAGAACACACTTGGCATTTCTCAAGCTGAAAGAATTGAAGAAAAAATTTGAGCCTCGAGTTTCAATACTGAGAGATTGTATGGGCAAAATATTGAATGATGTAGGAAACATCAAGAGAAGATGGCAGGAATACACAAAGTCACTTTACCAAAAAGAACTGGTCAATCTTCATCCATTTCAGGAAGTGGCATATGATC